GTTCTTTAATTATATTACAAGTAAGATATCTCGTATAGTGAATTGTAAATACCCAAATACCCACACTTACCATTAACGTATTGTAAATACGTAAACGCATCATTACGTATTGGTGTTATGGTAAAAAACTTCAATAAGCTAATTCGTGCTGTAACTTATTTTGTATAAGTTCATATTATTTTAGCGTCATCATAAAAGTATAGTTTACAACAAAAAACTTGTTACTTTCTCAACATGTTAGTTTTGAATTCAAACGAGGTCTGGCTAGTAATTAGTAACTGTGCCTAACACTCAGGTCACAAAACATAATGGCTACTCGATACTTCCTAATGGACTCTCAAAGCCATTTCTGTTAACTATAGACCATAACCAGTATAATATTTTGCCTTTGATGATTTTAGTTAGAAACTTTGAACTCTTACTGTAATTCAAACTCAATATGCCTTACACTGAAAATTTTTATGTTGGGAAGGTAGAGCAGGTTGGCAGTATTTTTTTATTTACCTTTAACAAAAACATCTTCAACCCATGCTTTATGCACTAAAATAATGTATTATAATTTTTTAATTTAAGAATATAAATATTTTTCATACTTTTTAAGTGAAGTTTACTTATCAGAAGAGTGTCTGTTTCAGTCAGTTTACTCAGAGAAGATGTGAAACACTTTTATTAATCTGTCAAGCGTAATCCTGTTTGTTGAGTTGAAAACGTTTGTTTGAGAATTCCTTAAAACGTTTGTCTGACAATTAAAATCGTCCCTTTAAAAAAACCAAAGTTTTTACTTGTAAAATGCCTGCTTATAAACACTGCCAGTAGAGTAAACAATAAAAATTAAATGTGCTTTAAAAAATATAAAATAAAATATAGTATTTAAAATAATATGTCACAACACCAACTCTAGAATACTTTGATCAAAAAGACGGATTAATAGATCAAGCTACAAACATTCTTGCTGGTAAAATACGCCACAGTAAATAACAAAACCGATCTTGGTTCAAAATGTCTTACTGTTGTGAAACTTATCATGACTATCTATCATTCCTTGTTAAACCAGTAAATGTTTTCTAAATCTACCAGGTTTTCAATTTCCTTGCTCATCTTGTTTACAGCTATGAAAAACAACCCTTTACTACCAGCAGTGACTCGAAGTAGAACGAATGCATCCTAAAACAAATAAGCAGAGCAACCATGCAAGCTGTAACACGAACATTCTATGTATTATAATTGATATTTTCAGCCGTTAAGATGATTTGTAAATAGTAGTTTACGCAACTACGATACGAGTAGAAAATTTAAGGTACGTGCCTTGGTGAGTGCCTTTAAAACCTCCGAGTGTCAGGCTAATTACGTGAGTTACGTACACTACTTTTCCCACGACCGTTTGATTACTAAAAATAAAAATCACTATGATAACTTTCAAAAGAGAGGTTAGGTTTTCATTTATAACCTATCATAGACTGGGACGGTGGCGTCGCGTCGTCCTGTAATCCAGCTACTAGGAGGTCACGAATTGTGGATATTTATAGATATGCACTGTGGATGCGATACTCCCTGGTGTGGATTAACGTCCGCACTAGTGAGTACTACGACTCATCGCAGTACTATCCTGATAATTAGACCAATTCGTTAATAGCAAGGCAAGAATGTGGTTGGGATTCCACTATAAACTCTAGGTCCCTTAGTTGTCATTAACTGTTTGTGCTATTAATTAACAACTTTGTCTAAGGAATATGATGGCCTTAGTCACTAACAACACTACAAGATCGCACCACTCATCCTACACTCATCCTTCACGCATATTTGGGTTCAAATACGCACATAATAGTGGCGTCCCCATCTTAAATAATTGATTGAATTGAATTGATTGATAGCCACTGATTATGATGCAACGACTTATTCGCCTAACCATTCACTCATTGTTTAGTAAATTAAATTGATGTTAACATCTGATAAGTTGATGTTCGACGTATTAAAATTTTACTTATTTTTCTTAATCCTTTAACCTCATTGGTCCGTTACTCGTGTTGTAAAGTAAAACAACACTGCTGTTAAGTGAATCTTAAACTGTTAACTGAACTGAAACGGCTAGATAAAAAATCTGTTGTATGTAAAATGTGTTTTCACTTGCAAACTCAAGGTTCATGGGAACCTATGTAGACTTTTGTTTTTAAATGCACACATTAGTGTTAACATTTTAGGGAGAAACCATGTCTTCTATAATTAATTCCCTGCGTTTTTAAGACATGATCAGTACATTATTTTCTTCAAACAATTTCTGTTGTAGTATGTCGTGGGCCTTTAAGGCTTCGGAGGCTAGCGGCTATCTTTGATAATTTCAAACAGCTGCTGAAGAGTTACTTATCGTCCAAAAATATTTTTTCAAACACCAAAGTGATTACAATTTAATTATCTAGTATACTGTGAGATTAAATGTTCTTTGTAGTTTTGAATTGTTCTTCAAGGGAGTCAATGGAAGCTAACAATCATTTTGGATTTGTCTGCCATAAGAGCAATGTTAATTTCGTTAATTTCAAACAGCCTTCTAAGATCTATTTACTGTCCAAAAATATGTTTTCAAACACCACAGTGATTGTAATTAAAATATCTAGTATACTGTGGGATTAGAAATTTGTCTTTGTAGTTATTCCTTTGTTTTATGAGTTAGAACGTCTAGGCTTCAAGGACTCAAAAGAAATTCTTGGAAATTAAGTGCTTATAAATGAACATTTCGGTTAGTTATGGTTAAATATAAACCATTATAAAATTCCGTCCAATTTAAGAGCTAATCTATACACATTATCCATTAAGACAGCAAAGGGATGATTCGACTTACCAGAGCTAGGTTGTTTGCGATAAAGGCTTTATCTTAGACCGGAAATTCACCAAAGTGTGTCTTGATTGAGATAGACACATTGATTGGTTCAACCATTATGGAGGCTACTTTTTGACAAATGGTTCTAACGGCTGAGCAAGTAACGAACATAAGATTCAGCTTCAAAACAGCAATAAGGCAATGCAAATACATACTCGAAATCAACATAACATATTGAACACGCATTAAGATAACGAATAGAAAACACACTTCACTTCTTATCAATATGAATGACATATATGTTTCAACATTCTTTTATTGATCCCAGCAAAAATGACTTGTCTTGTGAACAAGAAACATTCAAGTTTACACGTATACTTAGCAGTTCTAGTTGTGGTGAATGTACTATAAATCATTACATTAATTGGTAATGTGGTACTTATTTGTCTAAAGAATAAGTAAAAGGTTATTATTATAAAGGTATAATAAGTCAGTAATTTGAAGTGGTGTATTACTAAATTATTTACACATACAATTATTAACTCCTATAAATTAAATTAATTACTATACAACCACTATTGATAGTAATAGATGGGATTTTTTGAGTGAGTAGTCTGTGATAAATTCAGGAGTCCCACACTACAGGCGGGCTACATGTGTACGTAAAAGCATTTTCCCTCCTAAAAAAAAAAATTGCTATTAATTGAAACTATGTTTTCTGTAGATAAACTTTAATTGATATTGTTGTGACTATAATAGCAGGGTGGCAGGTTTAACGTTCTGCTTTCACGTTTACTTTAATATTTTAGCGTTTTTTTAATATTATAGGGAGTAAGCTATTATTATCGAAAGTCTCATGTACGACCTATAACCCGGGGAAACTTTTCGTTTTGATGTCCCCAGATACCGAATAATCTGTTCTAATTTACATATATGTGTGCCCTTTAACATTATGAGTAAATGTCACCCGATGCCAATTTAGATCATAGTTTTTTCGAACTGGTTTTCGAACCAGCAAGATCGGACGATGAGGACAGGGTATTTTTAGAGTGTTTTATGTAGTAACAATTTGTTTTTGTCCATTGTCAGACAAACATTTAAAGAAATGCTATAACCTAACCATGGCTATAACAAACGTTTTACTGAACTCTACAAACAGGATTACGCTTGACATATTAATAAAAGTTATTTTCACTGTCTCTGAATAAAATACCTGAAACAAACACTTATTCAGCTAAGGAATTTTTTTTAAATGCATTTAAAATATTTTTATTGTTAAATTAAAAATGTAAAATAAATTTCTTAATTACATAAAGCATTCCCTTGTTTGAGGAGGTTTTTATCCATTGTAAATTTTAAAATATAATAGAAATAATAGCATGTATCTTCCTAACATAGCTATTTCATCAGCAGTGCATGTATTAAGTTTTAAATAGGCCTAAAAAAATAGTTGAATGTTGCTAACTAAAATCATCAAAGGCAAAATATTATACTGGTTATGGTCTAAAGTTAACAGAAATGGCTTTGAGAGCCCATTAGGAAGTATCGAGTAGCCATTAGGTTTTGTGACCTGAGCGTTATAGGTACCGTTTCTAATTACTAACCAGACTTCGTTAAAACTCCGTCATGAAAGGTGGTTGTAAGATGTAAAACGTTTTTTTGTTGTTGTTTTTGCAAACAGTATTTTTATGATGAAACTAAAATAATATTAACTTTCCGTACAGTAAAAATCGGCATATTGTTGTTTTTACCGTAACACCAGTAAATTTTAGGAATTTATAATTCACTATAAAAAATCTTACTTATAATACTTTCAAATACAGTTTATTAGGTTCGGATATTGTGAATAAAATTGCAACACGACAAATGGAAATATTTTTATACTGTAAAATATAATTATTACAATATTCCTTTACTCCTAATGTCTGTGTCATTCCTGATAAGATAATTTTGCATTTTCAAACGTTATTGCTTAGTTTTCAGGTTTGCTGCAGCGAGGGATTTTATAAATTTATTGTAACACGTTGAAAAAATATATATTTATATATAAAAAATTGTATAATTTATCGAAGTAAATGATTTAGTACAACTCGTTTATTGTAAAAGATTCAGTGCTTGCAGATTTTTGGTAGATTGTACTTTAATTTTGGTTTTAGCAATCTTACATTATTAAGCCCATTTGTTTCAGGTCCAGAAGATACCAAGTTAGGTGAGTTTCAAAAACACATAACCTTCCAACAAAATGAGTATAAGATAAGTAAATAAAAACTATGTACAAATATTAAGGTAAAATAATTGCTCATTTTACAAGTGCAATAAAGTTTAATTATCCTATCTACGAATGTAGCAGGTTTTTTGATAAGCTAGAAATTATTTTATTTTAGGTTAAATGAAAAATTTAGCCTTGCATAAAATCTAGGATTATGTTTTACGCTATTATGTTCAAAGAAAAAAGGTTATTCCTTACCTTTAAATATGTATTTGATAACTGATTTGTGTATTATACATTAACTTACTATGTTATTAATATTTTTCAATTTTGACTTTATTTGCTTTCAAATAAATATGTGAAAGGTGTAAATGAATATGACAGAAGTTCAGTAGACCTTGGGATAAAATCTTGTACTCCACGGAGTACAGGGAAAAATATTGTATAAGTTTGTCTCCTTGGAGGAAAAGGGAAAGCGAGTAGGTATAGATTTGTAACTTCTAACAAGTCTGAAAATAGGAACATACACAAGTCAAACAAATAACTAATTACTCAAACCATATCAACCCGGTTTCTTCAATAGTTAGGGGAAACATTTATTAGTCAATTAATTCCGTTTATAGTTATAATTAGGTTATATGTCAAAAACCTTTGAAATCTTACTATTTTTGTATTTTTTTCAATTCAACAGTTTGTATCGTTTAGTCAAGGAAAAGGTTTTTGGGTTTTAAAAGGTGTGCACTATATTTTAATTACCTTTAACAATGTCCAGTTTTTCTCTGGGGCTGTATTTTGCAGTTTTTAACTAAAATTATTACTTATCAAAAGTATGCTGTTTTATCAAAATGCAAATAATTATAGAAACCATCTTAGATTTACAAGCAAGCTCAGTCACAGTCTTCAGGTATAAAACTCGTTAAAATAAATAATAAAGACAAATTACTGTAACTTGAAATTTAATTATGAGCAGAATCCAGCCTTGTTCACTTGACTGTAAAGTGACTGTGACTTTGTTTTGTTCTTTTCTTCGTCAAAATAGAAAGGGGTTTTCTGGAAATCGCAGGTTGTTGTTTTCTCTTAATTTTAAACGAAAAATATTGAAATTTACTTGAAAGATATTTTATTGGTTTTTGCTATGTCTAAGTAGACATAGGAAATTACTCGTAGAGTAGTAAATTCCTTGTCATTATCTCTCTGTAAAATATAGTTTTTCGAAAGTTTCCGTTATGGTAAAAATACACCAGTATATTATTATAAGTATGTTATAAATTTTAACCATCTTATGTTCATAGGTCTTCTTTCTCCACAAATTTTAATAAGCGAAAAATATTTTTATTAGACTTAAAGCAATAAATAAAGTAATATAGTTGTGAAAAATGATTTAAAAACTGTATGAACAATATTGCAGTTTACATAATGCTGAAGGACATTGTACAAAATCTCTAGAGGCAAAATGTAATATTACTAATTTCATTTTAAAGGTATGCAAGTGCTCTCCAATATTTAAATTATCTTGAATTTAGTTGACTTAATATAGGCATAACAAGAGCTACAGAGTTTCCTACTCCTATTTTAGATCAACTTTCTGGGATGAATTCTTCTGTACGGAACGTGTGCTGATACATTAAAAATGATATAAATACAAATTTAACCAATATTACGTTACAAAATATATCACATTTTTGTTAAGCCTAATTATACACATATGTCGTAGAAAATGAGTACTAACAACGTTAGACAACAATTTTTTGATTATAATTACCTTTTCATCCAAATTTTAAATGTAAATACAGAAGGAACTCAAGAGAAAATAATACTAAGGGATTGTTAGTCTCTTGGGGTTTGTCATGTTTGACTTCCTTTTACACAATCCTCTTATCCTTATAAAGTGCCTCCAACACAGTTTTAAAGTAGCTTTTGATCCTTGAGCAAAGGTCTTGTAGGGTAGTTCAATTTGATATTGCTCCATTGATGTTTTAATAATAGGTCATTCAATAAGTAACTTATGAGCAAAATACGCCAAAGCATTATTTATTCTACTAGCAGTGACCATGATAAATGTCATGATAATAAAGTATTAAACTAATTATATAAAAAAACTGTATTATATTGCATGCAATACCGAATTAATTTTTGTAAACGTTAAACTATTTTGTTGATTTTCAAACTATAAATAGAAATGGGACTTCATACGTAAAAGCAATCCATTACACAATAGGCAATCAGACGTGCATTACTTAATTAAGTAAAATGGTTTCTATAAACAGTCCACGACATGTTACAAGCTACACTGCATGTTTCGTGGGACTGCCATTTCTTCCAATGCCATTCATTCTACTGTATATTCTTGTAAGATTTTTCACCCACTGAAATTGAGGTTAAGTATTTAAAATTCGTGAGTAAACTGATATCAAAACATGAAAAAATAAATAGTTTTTTAGGTTTGTGGGGCATGCACGCGTTTGGTCTGGCTTACACGGCAGCAACAACATCAGTGATAACTCCACACAATTATAAACTTGAATACGTTTAAGTAAACATACCACAGCATATTTATGAGTCCAAATTGTATTACATTTTTAACATCAAAGAAAAAAGTTTATAAGTTGGTTTGAAAGTACCAAATTGCAACTCTATATTAATAGTATTTTTTTATATTTAATCGCATCACGTATTGAAAGATCTGTTTAAACAGTAAATGCAATATGACTGAATCATATTGTTTATTCAAGTAAGATATATTTATTGAAATAATTATCAATTTCTTTATTTAATTAGTAAAACCAGAGGGGATGTATAAAAAATGAATGACGTGTGTAAAGGCTGTAGACAAACACCAAACGTTCGCTCAAAACACGTTTTATTTACTAAATGTCCTGGAAAGCTAAACGTAAAACAGAACACGGTTTTTATTGTCTTGACAGTGTAAAATTAACGGACGGTAAAGCTTGATAAATTACAAACTGGAATGATGTCCCACAATTGCGTGCAGTTTACGGTCGACTTATTCATTTTAATCTGCACATTTGTGGAGTAATATTGATCCGGATGTGATTTGTAATATAAATATTTTGAAGGTTTATTGTTTAGTTATTTTTAAAATAAATAGTTCCAGGATTTAGTTTCACTTTAACCCCGAAGCGATTATTTACCTAATTATCACTGGTTGGAATGCATTTGTATCGAAGGTTGTATGAAGTTATCTTGAAAACATATATTTATAATGAGTGACTTCAACTTCGGGGCTGGAATCACTTTCCACCCTTCAAAAATTGTCCTTAGTTTTCAAAGAACATTCATTTATTGAATTTAGGTTAGGAGTAAATCAATATAAATGGTACCCTTATTGCACATCTTATAGTAACCCAGACTGAGATTAGACACTATTAACGAAGATGAAGCTTTATTAAACACAGTATATTGGTTAAAAAAAGACTCACCATATTGGAATGAATGTAAATGTTTTGTGCCAAGGTTGGGCTACGATGTACGTAAGTGTATTATTTTTACACAAAATCATTTAAGAAATAACAAAACTATTTGAGTGAAAACATTAAAAATAATAAGATTGCCATTTTATAGAAAACATACTATTACTGGAATCTTTATACTGAACAGCTGCGCTACAATATAATGGTTACATAATTACTATGAAGATTATAGTAGAGCAACTTAGAATACGTGAAATAAACTTCTCGCATAGAAAAGTGAAATATAAGGAATACGGTGAAATATTGTTTCGGAAATTTATTCCTTACAACCTGATGGCAAAATATGAATATTGGGTTCAGGTACGGAAGTCATAACAGTTTACGGGTAGCAACGATATTGAAAAACGTTCTCTGTTCGAGTCACTATCGATGGTCTCTGATATTTTACTTGATATTGTGATATGAAATTGTTGTGATTTAAACTATGAACGAAAGTAAATATTTTAGCATACAGATGTGCATGTTAAATACTGCTAACAGTCATATATACCCCTAGGTTTAAAGATTGTATTTTTCTTTTTCTTTAATTTTGAAAAAAGAGGTATGTGGCCTCTTTTAACATTTCATGTACTCGTTCACATTTTCAGTTGGGACAGTTAATGTACAGTACAATGTAGTGGCACAATTTAAGTGGCGACACTGCTGCATACATTCCCACGACAATTCCTTGGTCTCACGGGTTTTAGCGAATTTCCCATATAGGGAATAAGCTATTACCGTAGTACTCATGGTAAGACCTGGACGCGGGACCGATTTTTTTTTCGGTTTGAGGTCCCTAGAGGCCAAAAACACCATCCGTTCAAATTCATATATATATATATATATTTATATATTTATATATTTATATATTTATATATATATATATATATATATATATATATGTGTCCGTCAGCACAATAACTCGAGCAAAAATGATCCGATTTTGATGAAATTTGGTACAAACGTGTAAACGTACGTTTATTAGAACGAGTTCGCAATCCAGCATGATCGGACCATGGGAACGGGGGTTTACGGGGGGTTTTATGGGGTAAAAATAGGTTTTTCCCATTTTTGACCCAAAAAACATAAAATTTAGCAATTTCTTTCCAAACCATTTTGTAGAGCTTAAAAAAACAAATAATTTAGTATATTGAAGCGTTATTATGCGCCTAATGGTTACGGAGAAAATTCCAAAAAATGGTAAATTTAAAATACCCATGTTATTCTAAAATTCCCATGTTATTCTTATGGAGAAGTAAACTGTTGTAGTTTGCTTGTTTGTGAACATATTTTGATCAAATTTGGAAAATGTTTTTATTTCTTACTAACTATTCACATTTTACAAAAAAAAAAACAGTTTTACCCTCCCTGATGCAGCAAACCTAAGTACTTGTTAAACTAATTCTATTTAAATCAAGAATAAATGTTATATTTTTAAGTAGACATTTCAGTGTAAATCCAATCAGTCAAATGGAAATTCGCTTAGTCTGCAGGTTTGCTGCGGCGGGGGTATTTTTGTTGTGAGGTGTA